GCGTAACAATTCGAGAAAAAAAGACGTACGCTTTTAGCCTGGGCAATTTGACGCTGGAAATCAGCCGATTTTTCCTGAAGTAGCTTACGATTCTCCTCTAACTGAGCCAACTGCACCTTCATCGACTCGGCCTCCTTTAGTTTGACACGATCCTCTGCCCTCTTGGCCTTTAGAACCTCAAGTTTCTCAGTGAGATCTTTCACCTCAGCACGCAGATTTTCGAGTTCAACACGCACATCAGCGGAGAGAGTGTCCTCCACTGTAACTGGACCCTCTAAATGCAAATGAGAGGACGTTGGAGAAACAGAAACAGGTTTGTCGGGTTCCGTGTGCTGAGGTGAACCCGTGGGAGCCTTTTTTTCAGTTGTTGAGTCAGTAGCGATGGCTTGCGATGAGGAATGTCTACTTGGTGACATGGTAGAGGCCGGAGGAGCACCAGAGGTCTTTAAACAAACGATATTGTCATAACAGACATTAGTTAAATAGGAAACAGTACAAAAAGTCATTCGCAAACACACTAAGAAAGCTTACCCGAGGTTTTTTAGGTATTAAAGTCTAAAAAGGGAACAGAGGAAGCAATCGGCTCTAACAAGTTTCAAATTTACAGTGCAAACAAACGAACCTGAGAAGAAGACATCCGCCCGGAAATATCGGATCTTGCAAGATCGTCTAAAAACGATGGCTCACTCAGTATAGTTAGACGAAAAAATAATCGATGAGGCTTTTTAATCGATTGTGCATGGCAGAAAATAATCACCACAAGGTTAGTTGAAGCGTAAATCAGACCGCTTTGGTGCCAATCGCGCCAGTAAACTAACCTTCACTTTTCGCGACATTTGTGCGACTTAGTCTCGCAGTAGTAGAAGACAAATTGGATCTACTACCGTGAGCGGGTGGTCTAAGTTGTGCTGCAATTTAATGAACTCTTCCAAGAATGCATAACGATAAGTCAAGGGTTCACAGTAGCCTCATGAGGATTAAGTGCCAAGCAGTGTGTATTAGAGTGAGGCAATAGTTAGGCGAATTACAAGGACCAGTGACATGGGAAACACAAACATACACGACGTCATAACCACGTCGTTTTTTCCTTTACGTGGAGCCGGAGAATTCACTCTACTGCTTGGCTTGGACGTAGGCCGATTATTTATTGGAATGTGTCTCCGTAAGTTGCTTGCTACTTATACAAGGAAATTATAGAACTAAAAAATGTAGTGCAAAGACTTACCCTTGGAGGTGACAGCACCTGGTGTTGACAATCTCATCGAACCACTTTCCGAAGCAACAGAACTCATCGAGGTATTCATGATGGAGATTGGTCCGTCTGGGCCGATGAGGGCAACCTAGAGTTAAAAGCAACCAAAACACACATAAGATATGATGGAATATCAGTTAAGTTAAATGAATAGAATTCGGATATGAGGATTGACAGGTAAACGAAAAAACTTGGGGAGAGGACTATGAATGAGGTATGGTCCATAACAAGAGCATAGCTAGCCAGACAGGAAAGGTAGGTCCAAAAATCAATGTAAATCAGCGCAACTCTCACCTGTGTTGGCCGTACGAACAAGCCATGACCCTCCTTGCAATCGAAGTAGCGTTTACCTTGAACACTTCCGTTATTTTTTCCAAGGGGTTCATTTAAGACAACCCCAACCCACTTCCCTTAAGCAAACATTAGCATTATACACATAGTACCAGATGAGAATTGTGTTGTGCCAATAAATGCGACGGTGCCCTCCACATTCTTCCCCAGAACCAGAACCGGAGACCCAACCTTCAGTTTCGACTCCTCCATTATGTTAATTGGGGTCAAATGTGCACGACGGGAGCATCAATAGCATCATAAATCAGTAGGCGAATTTATTATAGAGCATTGATTTTGCAAATGAAAGTCAGACAAAGAGTATAGACAAAGTTTATGGTTGCATTGATCCGCTTACAACTTCTTAAAAAGAAATTAAAGCCTTACAAAAAACTTAATATAGAGTTTAATTAATTTTTTTAAATATTTTATTAATAATAAAAATACACGTAAAGTGGTTAATACTATTAAGGATAGCACTTGGGTAATGTGAAGGCCAACGATTTCATTTGACCATAGCCTGACAGACTAAGAAAATAGTTTGTGCAAGTCGAAGTAGGTTCTCTCTTTGCTTCTACTATAGGAAATTGCATTTTATTCGGGTATATTGAGTAGTATTGCGCATGGCAGAAGTGGAGGAGAAGGGCTCCTCTTTTGAAGCCCTTCTAGACTCTTGCACCATTCTCCTCAGGCCACGAAAACGGGACAAGAAAAATGTTGATGACATATTTAATACCCTAGGAGATCTGTTTAAGCTTGTTGTCGAAGAGAAACCTGTTCTCGATAGCAGCATCTGTGGTAAGTACAGTTGTTATCATTTGTGTCCCATTACACGATGAAGACCACCTCATTCATTGTGTTACGACCTCGTTCACTTTTTGCTTGTATTTGGAGGTGTGATTAGTGATGATACTTCTCTTTACTTGGCTCGGCGTAGTAGTCGTAGTAAGACCCTCTCCTTCATTACCATTAGTCATCAATTCATATTGTACAAATGTGATTTCGGACGGACAGCATAATCTCCCTGCTCTAAAGGACTTAATCTGTATGACACTCTTTGAAATAGATGGCGTTTCTTGTGATTCACTTCCGCTTGGACCGCTGGCCTCCAAACTCATAGACTACAACTTTCTATCAAAGCTGGTCTCGTGGAGTGCTACTGGAGAATTCGTTCCGAGCAATATAAAATACTTTGCCCTGCAAAATCTACTGCTTAATTTTGATTTTTTAATAAGCCAGGCTAAACAAAGTCTTCTCTTTTCGACCTCCATCCTCCAGCCTCTTTTGAGGCTCATTGTTTCTTGCCGTGAATTCTCTGAACACCTGTCAGAATATTTGAGTCGACTACTTTACACGCTATCCGTGCTGCTATGCCGGGATCCAATCCTTTTGGAATTCTCCAAGCAGGTAATTCTTTGCCTTTGAGCCTCTATTTTCCTGTCATTTTGTTAATTTATTATTTGTGTTAGCTATCCTCCCTCTAGCCCATTAGATAATGTGTAGCTTCTATCGATTTTATTGCCTAGGTGTCGCATGATGTAACGCGGGACGAATATTTCATTTTCTCTCAACTCGTCCCATTGCTTCATTTGCACGGACCCTCGGGTACCAATGCACAAGATGCCCTTCTCCTCATTCTCGCTCTTTCGGATCGTGATGCCGAGGTGGCTAATTATCTCACCTTGAGGTCTGATATCTGTCCCGTAAGTCGATTCTCCAATGTCGCAGTTTTCTTGCACATTTTGTCGTCAAGTATCCCATTATCCTTCCGATGTCTGTTTACTCTTTTGGGTTCCTCTTTTATGAGTTTCTTCGTTTTCTGGCTCGTATTCTGCTTATCAATGCAGGGCCATTTATGTTTGCGACTATCATATATTCATTTCACATCTGGGCAATATTACTAGCTTTAGTTGAAGCAATATCGTTCACCGGAAACTAGTTTTTTCCCCGCCCTTGTGGCACACACTTTGTTTCATTTCCATTATCGTTGATTTGCATGTTTTACTTTAGGTCTTGGCGACAGGTTTGAGTGGACACTACTCCTGTCTTCCCAAGCGCATCGTTTCTGATGCTTCTGATGGTGAACGGTCTTCTAAAGCTCTTCGCATGCATAGTGCTGATTGGCACCGAATCTCCCGATCTGAGTGGTCCAAATGTGAACCTCTTGTTCGATTCCTCCAAACTCTTGATTTCTGCAACTTAGCTATTCGTGTATGACTTTCTTTTGG